CCCCAAAACCCCAAAACCCCAAAACCCCAAAACCCCAAAACCCCAAAACCCCATTTTCTCCAGGAGATGTTGAAAGCGAAGAATGAAATTTTACATATAGAAATTGCCTCCAGAAGTTCCACCACCTGAACCTCCGCCGAAGCCACCTCCTAGGCCACCACCGAAGCCTCCTCCTGAGCCCCCTCCTTTTCTGAATCCTGGGAACTGTGGAAGATCATCATTGTCAGGAGTTGCCCCCATTCCATATGGACTTGGGTTGAAACCCAAGCCATCATCAGGATCATCATTACCATAAAGATTACCTCCAGATCTTCCTGGGTTATTAAAGACGCTACTACCTGGACCTATCAGGCTGCTGCCTCCATTAGGCCCGATATCATGTAAACCTCCAAAAGGTTTGAATCCTCCCGATCCAATGCCTCCTAAAGGCCCTCCTGCAGGAATTCCTCCTATTCCAGGATTTGAGAAGGGATGATTAGGCACATCTTCAACAAGAAGTTTAGACTTTTTGAGCAAAGGCTTCTTCTCTTTGATGAACTTTTTGGTCAAGTTGGAGAATTGGTCTGAAACCGGCTTGGACTTTAATAAAGAATCTAAGTCCATTAAAGAATCTAGAGAAGCAGGGAGATCCAAGTTGTAATTGTCCAGATCGTCTGCCTTTTTGGAAAGAATGTTGACCTCTATTTGGCTGTCACTGTTTTTCATTATTTTGAGAAAGATAGTATCATCGTCTATATTATAAGTTCAAAAGTGTTTACTTTCTTCGGCATGATATCTGAAAGAGAGAACTTCTTGATCCTCGCTAATCCATGTATCTTTGTGCTCATGCAGAGAAATGGCTTCATTTTCCTTCTTATCTTCCAATGCTAGGTTAGGGTCATCTTCAAGGAACCCGTCACAGGAGATTCCTTCTCTGGTATCAAAGTAGGCATGAACCAGAACTCCGTAGTAAATCCATGCATCTGTTAGGATGAGATCTCCTTCCTTGCCTTCAATGAAGCTGACTTGGTAGGCATTGAGCCTATCTTTGATTTCATTGACTTCTTTTGTATTCATTTTTATTATTTCAACCAAATTGTCTGAATTTGGGGTTTTGGGGTTTTGGGGTTTTGGGGTTTTGGGGTTTTGGGG